CCCGCCAATAAACCTTGATATAAAATTGGATCCAAATCTATTTATTCTTTCCTAAGTTCGCGGCTACCAAGCTTGGCATGTGCAAAACTATTACACCTTCGCTGTGACCTTTAAATGACCTCAAGATCACTAAATTCAAGTGGTGTCGGTAAATCTCGTCAATAAACCTTGGTACCAAATTTGAATAAAATCCATCTTTTCTTTTTTGAGTTATCGCCCTAACAAGCTTATTTGATGTATGAAATGCAACGAAAAACAAACACCCGCGTATTTACGAGTGATTAAAACTGTTATTACAATTTACGTATATATTTATTACATTTTACCGCAACGAAAATTATTACAATTTACGTCAATTTTTATTACAATTTGCGTCTTACAATTTACGTCAATTTTTATTACAATTTGCGTATTACAATTTACGTCAATTTTTATTACAATTTACGTTTTTATTACAATTTACGTCAAGTTTATTACAATTTGCTGCAAGTATTACAATTTGCGTTTTTATTACAATTTACGTCGTAACAGGCCCTCAGCCGTGACAGTATCCTGTAATGATGGGTCCTTGTAATGCCCATTGGTTTCACAAGACCATACTAGTATTTACTTATTTCTTCCACATTAGACAGCATTTGTCTTCAGTTTCTCAATTTGCACTTTGTGTAGTCATTTTCAGATTGATGATTGTGTGTCCGGTTGTCTTCTTGCAAATTGTTCTCTTTGTGAAATGTCAGACATTCAGAATCACTTCATTAACAATGGTTAATGATAAGTTTGTTGCACTGTAAACCGGTCAACATGTACGTGTGATAATGAAAAATGCCTCATTTTATGGGATGTGGAAAGGTTGACATAGTGCCTCACTACCATGATTGTGCAATGTGCTGGTGTGATATCTTATTTGTCATTAAATTCTCTAATACGTCAAAATGAGAAATTCATTTGTTCAGAAGCTCTCCGAACTTTGGCCTGTTTCTCATTAAGTTTTTTTTTCAAAATACAACATGCCATGTTTAAGGATATTTACTCTGGGTGAACGGAGTGAGTGAGTGAGTGAGTGAGTGAGTTAAGATATTAAGACACATCGGCAATATATCAGCCATATCGTGACTAAAACTAGTTCTAAATTCATAAAAATTGCATATAATTTATAAAACCCTGTCAATGAAGGACAGTAAAATTACTGTTATCACGTATTTGTTAAAACTAGATCAAGGAGAATTATAATAATACACTAACAATTAACGACAGGAGATAAACATTGGCAAGAGATCGCTAGCAACGGAAGGTAGGCAGCCATACTGGAGATCGTGGGGACTTACAATACTTCTGCTTCATGCACAGTTCTCTAGCTGGGCAGGGTGAACGGAATGAACATGCGTTCACAAAACGTATTGTTTTCAGCATTACAAATATACGAAAGTGCCTCTGCAAGTGCTCAACTTATGTAACAGTTGTTCGCCTTGATGTGAGCAAGCCGTGTTTCCCTGGAGCGGGTAAATCCATGTTCTAAATCGACAAAAATAACAACAATCCGCTATCTAAGGTATACATTTCTGGTTAAACGACACTTAATATACTCCGTGAGTGCAAAATACCATGATAGGTTGAACTAGATGGAGATATCTTCACTGGTCGCTCTACTGGGATCAGGATTACCGCAGAGGTGTACAGTACACAACCCTGTGCACTTAAACGAACCCACGAATCCGTTGGTATTTGACCAGATGGTGGCCACATGAATACGTGCAAACACCTAGTTGCGGGTACAGCAACGTGCAGTGAACATGGACAAAGTACTGTGATTATGTGTCCCAGTCCACCCAGCTGTGAATGGATGAGAAAGCCACAATAACTCGGTGCGCCTAGTGGCTGCAAGAGTTCTATACTCCCCAGGGAGTTGAGACTGATAATGCGATGTGCCGTTGAGATTGACATCCAATGATCGAGGGAAAAAAATACCAGCGCCTTGAGCATGCACTAGTGCGTGGATATGTGCGCTATATAAATATCCTATAATAAAATATCCTATAATATAATAAAAGAGGTCATGTTTGATACTACTCACCTAGATTTGCCCATCGCACTCAGTTAGGCCGAGAAAGTGATTGCAAGTGCAAACTGTTACCGTTACGAGTGTTTGAAGAACAGAACCTGTGTCAAGCTGCTTCATTCTGTGCTAACATACTGTTTTGACAACAGCACATGTCCTGATAGCGACATTCCACGTGATCCCTTGGGATACAGAGGCATCTCTGATTTCCATACCTTGCAAAATATACTCTGATATATTTAACATAGGCGGATCCAGAGGGGGGTGCAGGGGTGCAGGAGTTCCACCTTTTCTATGCAATAACTAGAGATTCTACGGTTGTGACGTGTGAATTGTAACAGTGATAATGGTAGAATTATCCATAAAATCAACACTTGGTCTCACAAGTATTGCAAATCATGAACTAACAGAGTCAACCCTACTATCCGATCCTGGCAACTACCAATTGCTGATATAATGACTATTACCCCGCCTGAAATAGAATTTGTCAAACATTAGTTTTTTCTATTAGATCATCATGACTGGCTGAGTGAACTGTGGAACGGCAGAGGACTGATAAGCGGTCATAACTTCGTACGTATCGTCAATATAAACACTCATTAAGCACCTAAGCCTATGTTAAAACTGTTGCCAACCGGAGACTTTCGCCAAACTTAGGAGTGGGACACTACCCTTGACAGTTGAAACTGGGATATACTCTCGTCCACTGGTACCTTTAGCAAATGAAAACGTCGTCGAGGATGAAATACATTCCTTAACATGATGTATTTTCTACAGCGATTTGCGATATGATCTATGAACCTATGCTGCATCCCTTCAACTACCCTTCCTTCATCTGGCACCAGTAATTAAACCATCTTCGTTCCCTTATGAATAACTCCCCTTTTTTGTAATTCCTTAGCCGCCCTAGTACATAAAATGTATATACGTCGAATGCTCCATATTTGCAAATAGAGTTTGTATTGTTAACATTAATTTTAACCTTTGTATTATAGCCATTGGAATTGGTGTGTATGAGAGTGTGTGTATATGTGTATATGTGTGTGTGTGTGTTTACGTGCGCGTATGCATGCATGTATGAACGTTTATAGGTATGGTTGTGTGCAGGGGTATGAATGCATGTTTTTTGTGCATGTGTATACGTATGTATTGTGTATGGATGTACGTATGTATGTTTGTACAGGTATGTATGCGTCGATGTATGTATGCCGGTACACTTGTATGTATAATATGTATTTATGTTTGTGTACATACCTGTAAGTATGTTGATACACGTGTGTTTGATGTGAATTGGTTATATGCTTGTGTGTGTGTGATATTGGGTGTGGGTATGTAATCTGAAGTTGTGTGACTATATATTGTGTGTGTATGTATGCAAGTGTTGGTGTGCATTTGCTAGTTATTGAGGAGGGGCTGTATGAGTGTAGGTGGAAGGGCTGGGTCTATGCTTGAATGCTGGTTGGAGGGTTTGTGTGTGGTGTGTGTTCGCGTGGATACGCGTATGTGGATATGTGGTGGCTGTGCGTGTGTAAGGATGTAGCTGTGTATCACTGTTGAGAGTCATGAATTTTACTATTACATTCTTTCAAAATAACTTTTTACCATAACTATTGATTTTAATGTACAAAGTATCTGGTAGGCCTGTAGTCCGGCTGTTACTTTTACCACGCTTTTATGTTTGCAAATATTTTAACTGTTACATGCGACACTGTAATACAATAATTTTCTTCATCTTCTCTTAAATCTAAATGAATCTAACATTGTGTTAGTTTACTGGAGTACGAACTCATCGAACCGTTCAACGTCGTGTCGGTACTCGGGCCGACACCGCGTCAACGCCGGAGTTCACGCTCCAGTAAACGAACACAATGTGAGATTTATTTGAAACAAATTTGAATTTTGAAGTTCATGGAATGTTAATGTTACTGTGACGCATGTTCAAAACGATGTAGGTTACTGGTTTCATTGGAATGCAGTGACACAATACTAGGTATATACTGTACACTTACACAAACAAAAATTTCATCCGAAATTGCTTCTAATTTAATTGTTCATTACTAAATACTCAAATCATATTTAACCACGCACATGCCCATTGCCGGATTAATACAATACAATACATGACAATACAATACAACACAATGCAAACGATTTTATTAGCGTATAACCAACTGTACAAAGTAAAAAAACAACAACTTAATCTAGTACGTGAAAGATGATGTACAAACGCCACCCAGAGTGGGTTATGAGAGACGATAAACCATAAAAATATACATTAAGTGATAGAGATTAGGATATATAAAGTAATAGGAAATACATATCAATATAAGCACATTCATATTTCATTTAACCGCCTCCGTGGTGAAGTGGTTAGAGCGTCCGCCCGGAGAGCGGAAGGTCGCGGGTTCAATCCCCGACCGCGTCATACCAAAAGACGTTAAAATATGGTACTTGTTGGTCCCTGCCTGGCGCTCGGCATTAAGGGGTATAACAAGGACTGGTCGGCTCGGAGTCAGTATAATGTGTCTGAGTGGGGTATTCATGCTTCACTGCGTCATGGTATCTCAGTGGGCTAGCACTATAAAACCAGCTTCAGTCTGGGCTAGTACAAGCAGCCGCACATACACATACACACGCATGCACGTCGTCATATGAGCGAAATATTCTCAAGCACGACGTAAAACCCAGATTCACCTCACCTTATATTTCATTTAAAAGCAAACAAATCATCTTACCAAAACATTATTCATTCACAAAGCTGGGTATATGGCATAAATGATTTATAAACATAGATAAAAACATTGTAGAGCATAACATAGGTAAAATATATTTGAGATAAGTTATCAATAATTTTTTGAGGCTTTCACACTGAATGTGAAATTAGATATTCAGATTGTTTTAATCTCCATAGGACCACCAGTGGTGGTATAAGAGTGAATTACAGCTTGAGGGTATAATACACACAGTATGGTGAGCAAGATGGCAGTACATGTAAATGATACAACACACATGATATAGAAAGGCTATGACACTCTTGTTGCTATAATGTTTATAAATATTGCAAGTGATTTCAGTTTTTATCTGTTTTTTAATGCTGATTGACTGTGAAATCTTGCGTCTTATGGATATCTGATGCTATGATGGTTGTTGCTTGAGCAGTTTTAAATCAGAAACAGGGCCCCTGTTGTTGGTCATGGCATGCATGAGTTCCTCCGACAGATTACTTTCACAATCATCGCGGCCCCCTGTGCTGTTTTGTGCAAGGTTTCGTGCTAAGTCGTCACCTAACTGTGACCCTTATCATCCTGTTGTAGGCTGTGTCGTTGAGAGTTTAAGTCCCTCGTATTTTCTTCAATCGTAGCTGTCAACCAGGAAGAGGTAGGTGTGGCATGGACTTCGGGTTTTGCGTCCAGTAGGATTTGATAAAAGTTTTCATAATCTGTTGCCAATAGTGAACAAGCAACATCGTCCATGCCTACATGTACTGGTTGATCTCCCGGAGCATGTTCTGGCTTTGAAGTCGAAACGTCCGAAAAACGCTTCATGTTGATTTGCGACTAAAAATAGCAGACGAAAAATCTCTGTTGGTATATTAATATTCTTGCATTATTTCAGTATATTTTTTGTAGGTTCTGCGACTGAGTAAATATGACCGTTAGTGAAAAGCTGGTGCGGAAAAAACCCGATATTTTCTGATCATCATAGTCATGATAAGCAGCGAAGAAATTGGAGACATTCGGGTCACGGAGAAGTAAGTTAAGTGACTGTGTGACTGACTATGGTATACACCCAAACGTGAGTCTGAATAGGTTCAACACGGCAATGCTGATTTTTTTCGGCAACCCCCAACTGTTGAAGTCCTCTTCCCCAGAGCAGTGAAACACGCCATGACAGAAAGCTTCACCAACCTAATATCTCGGTATGCTGCTTTGAGTTCTTTGTCTACGTCCCTTGGTCCGTCCGACTCTGATGCCAAAATAGTAATCAAATCTATGAAATGGTCTGAATAAAGACTTACCGCCCATCAAGCGTTACTTCTTGACTTGCTTTACAACGACATTAGAATCCATGTCTGTACAGAATAAAGAAGTTGTATATCCATAAAAAATTGTCCTCATTCTGCTTTCCTAGCAGGCAAGAATGAAAATCAACATAGGTTTGCCTTTCATTATTGTATTTTCAACAAAATATACTTTCAAACAATTATAGCGAAAATTGTAAAAGTGCTCCTTACTTATTTATGTAACAGTTATGAAATGCCATTTCACCCGGACCTTCAAACAGTGTATATTCATTTTTTTACTAACTTTAATTACTAACTTGAAGCCTACTTAATGTTGTTAACTGTTATATATTGTCTTAAACTGTAAAGCCTGATTCCATTCGATGTAAAACGTGTAAACCACAACCCTAAATATTCATAACTACAATCTTTATACCACAACGAACGTTTGAGGTATTCCATACCGATATTATACAGAGAATTTAAATAAGCTCCTGTGTGGATATGAACACCGAAGCATGAAACACCGCCATTCTTTTGTAGGTTATAACGACTCCTCATTGGGCGTTAATAACGATATGCGTCAGATACAGATACTTAAACCACTAAGGTGAATATAGCATTCGCATGGACGCATTCGACAGACGCAGCGGCTGGATGCCGGTATTCTTTGGACACGTACATCTTTTTCTGTAAGAGACGTTTTGACGATAACATTTGTCATACAGTGATTCCCCTAAAAGTAAGTATTGGCAATCGGTAGTAATGCATAGCTCTCTGTGAGTTTGTCTTAACGATACCTTCTTGTGATGACAGCAAGGATCTGCTGTGTTCGATGTCATGTTAGAGAGTTGACTAACACTGACATATTTGCCGGTTATACATATGTGGGTTTCTGGGTTATACGGTTGACATGAGGTGAGAAAAAAGTGGGGTTTAAGCTCTAGGATGCTAGGCTGTTTAAGATCTGGACGTTGTGCACGGGATCTACATACGGCTATAAAACGGCTTTGAAGAATATTTTCTTCGGTTACCATATTATCCTGCTTGTGTTAATGTATTTTAAATAATGTTGCACAGTTATTAAAAAGAGTACCGGACTTATCTTAGAATATAATGTTATTACAGTAAATATAATAATGTTGACGTCATGGATTGTTTTAAGTATTTGGCAACGTCGGAGAAAGACAACATTGGTATGTTGATTAGGATAAGAAGGTTCGCCAGTCAGTATTTTGCGCATTGTAACAGAACGTGAGATGGCTGGTTTTATAATAGTGTCCTGAGTGAGAGCGATGTATTTTCAGTAAACGAGGCCACGGGCCCACGTTACAATACATTCGTTCTTACAGGTCATACGGTGCGCCACATGGGTACTTGAGAGTACAGTAGAGTGAGTGAGTGAGTTAATATACTGAGTCAAAAAAGAAACTTCACAAAATGTAATTTGAAATATAATGAATAATTTTTCTCTGATGATACATCTATGTATCCGAAAGGGGATCCCGATCTTTCGACTCTAGAAAAACGTTAGCAAAACCCACTCAAACCCATCCATTCGTCGTGCAAATGATGTTAGTGCCAAATCAGGTTTTGCATGTGCAGTCGATCACGTGATCTTCGCATCGAAGTTTTCTTCATATGCACGTGTTTGCATTGGCCTCAAGAATTGAAAAAACACTTTGAAACCACGGTTCTAAAGGTACTTGAAATGCCACGATTGTCAAATGTGCAACGTGAACGCGCCGTTGGCATGTTGCAAGCGGGAAGATCAGTTATTGACGTCGCAAGAGCAATGGGATGCAGCCGTCGTACTGTGTATGACTTGCGAGGTCGTCTGCAACAAACTGGCACCACTTCTGATCGCCCAAGGTCGGGTCGTCCACGTGTGACGTCACGAGCAGAAGACCGTCAAATCGTCCTACGTCACCTACGTGACAGATTTCTGCCGGCTACACGAACCAGGGCTGAGATGTTTAGAGGTCGGCTGTCCTCACAGACCATTCGAAATCGGTTGCGGGCTGCCAATCTCCATTCTCGACGTCCATATCGTGGGCCAATATTGACGCCGTTTCATCAACGTCAACGTCTGCTGTGGGCCAAACGTCACCTCCGGTGGACCCAGAGAGACTGGAATCGAGTCGTCTTTAACGATGAATCCAGGTTTACCCTCAGATTCGCGGACGGCAGGCATAGAGTCTGGAGACGACGTCGTGAATGGTATGCCCAATGTTGTGTACAGGAAGTCGACATCTTCGGGGGCGGAAGTTGCATGGTGTGGGGTGCTTTCTGTGGGAACAACCGTTCCCGACTTCTGGTCATCCGTGGAAACCTCACAGCTGCTGCTTACCGCGACCAGGTGCTGACCCCTGAACTCGTTCCTTTCATGGCGGCTCATGTCCCAGGTCTACAGTTCCAGCATGATAATGCTCGGCCGCATACCGCGATGCTGACACGAAATTTCCTTCAAAACGCTGGAATCAACGTCATGGACTGGCCATCGAGGTCCCCTGACCTTAATCCAATAGAGCACGTTAGGGATGCATTTGGGAGAAGGCTTCGTGGTCTTAGGAACCAACCTCAGAATTTGCAGGAACTTGGCGCTGCCTTGCAAGAGCAATGGCGCAGAATCCCCAACCACGTGTTCACAAGCATCGGGCAGTCGATGAGGAGACGGTGTTTGGCAGTGGTGAATGCGCGGGGCGGCCATACACGATACTGAACTGAGAAATTTCGCATTTTTATTCTTGTGACTAGACATTCTGTATACCCATGTTTTGGAACGGCGGTGTAGCCTAATGGGACTGATTATGGCACTGTCAGTTTATCGAGTACATCACACAGATCTCAGCAATGAAATAATAACAATTTAACCATCTTACCATCTCTTGTTCTTTTATAGTGCCCTGAAGAAAGAATGTGAAGTTTCTTTTTTGACTCAGTATATTTAACGTCACATCGGCAATATCTCAGCCATAGAGAGTACAGTAGATATGTATACACCAGTAGTATTCCGGGACAATCATGCTATAGAATCATACCGTCAAGAAGTTTTTTCTTTCCTTAAGTTTAAAAAAGAAAGCAAAGCTGGACAATTTAGAATACAACTGTTATTAGAAGTAAGCAGAAAAAATATGGTGTCTGTCTCGTGCTATCGCTTTCTCGTCTCGTGTTATCGCTTTCTCGTCTCGTGATATCGCTTTCTCGCTTTTTCGCCTCCGAATTTTAAGGCGAGAAAGCGATGGCCCTAATCAGCCACCATACGAAATGGTGACAAGGTGGTTCTAAATGCATTAATATCCACAGCAGTTAGATTAGATTTTTGAGTTATATAGGCTTAAAGAAGTGAATCAAGGAAGATTTTTTTATCATCTATATCAATACATGTTATTCTAAAAGCAGATAAAAAAGATTTGTTACATAAAACATATTGCCGTTACCATGCTTCATCAAAACCATAACTACAGAAGAGATTTCTGACATTAAAAGCCCAACAATCCAACCTTTTTGCTCTTTTATATTGATAAAGATACAAATGCCTTAATATAGAGTTTTCACTCTGAGAAATTAATCGCAACCTGTACTTTACAATCTTTATGTTTTGCTTCACTTTTAATGAAAATCGCCCAAGTTTAATATCGCGAGTAGGTAAAGAATAAAACAGTTTGGCATCAGTTTAACGTAAATCAAAAATACAATCTGAATCCGGAAACTATATTGTTAGGATAGGACATTTCATTGTTGGTATTGTTTGGCTATTTCTCTTGATAACTGTACGGTGAAAGATGAAAAAGTGTCCCTATTGTTTGGTGTGAGTTTAGTTTTACGCCGCTTTAAGCAATATTCCAGCAAGGGGAACACCAGACATGGGATTCCCACGTTGTACCCATGTGGGGAATCGAACCCAGGTCTTTGGCGTGATGAGCGAACACTTTAAATGTTAGGCTACCCCACCGCCCCTATTGTTTGTGCCTATCTGAACTAAAGTACATGTTGCAGTAATGCCTACGTTTCTAACCGCCGTATAAAGGTTAATAACATGATGTACAACGCTAAATGTGTCAATATCTTAATTTTTTAAAATTATTTTTATATATTATTATTGGATATTTATATAGTGCACATATCCACGCACTAGTGCATGCTTAAAGCGCTGGTATTTTTTCCCTCGATCATTGGATGTCAATCTAAACGGCACATCGCATTATCAATCTCTACTCCCTGGGGAGTATACAACTCTTGCAGCCACTAGGCGCACCGAGTTATTGTGGCTTTCTCATCCTAACGAGGTACCCATTCACAGCTGGGTGGACCGGGACACATAGTCACAGTACTTTGTCCATGTTCACCGCACGTTGCTGTACCCGCAACTAGGTGTTTGCACGTATTCATGTGGCCACCATCTGGTCAAATACCAACGAATTCGTGGGTTCTTTTAAGTGCACAGGGTTGTGTACTGTACACTAGGGGTTGTGACAACACTGAAAGAGTCTGCACACAAAGTTGACCCCAAGGTTTTTACACCCGGTCACAGGTGGGCTCGATCCCGACACATCAACCTCGCTGGATCACTAGCCTGGCGCCTTAGGTGTCATGTTCACTGGCATCGGTACGCATTTCAAACAAACAATAGCTTTCAAAGGATGATAATAGCTTACAACCGTCATCTACGTATGAATAAATAATAATACTGAAACTATGAGCCGTAATATTGAAAATATAAGCGTAGGATCGGATTAAATATATTGTGTTTACCCCCATTCAATCGACCTCAAAGAAATTACCAAATACGTATAACAGTGATGACCACAAAAGGTGTGACCGAGAGTTCACAAATGTCGTGTTCACTGGCATCGGTAGGCAGCATTCGGCGAGGAACCTTTCCTTTATTCGTGGATCGTTTGTACATAAATTTGTGATGTAAGTAATCAGAAACATTCTGACTATGAGCGTATTGTTATTTGTTTTTATTGCCTTCATCGTAACTATGGGTCAGTCACACAGCACGGCATCTTTGACAGCTGCGTTGGAATTTAGCAAATCGCTGTTTTTTATCTATGTTATAATTTCCCATTTAATACTTCAATACACCATGCATTCTAAACGCATTGAGCCATTGCATGCAAGGATTGGACGAATGGATCTTTCCAAAACTGAGAAAATGCTACACAGTGTAAAATCTCAAGTTTTCTGTTTACATTTCAAACAAGTGAGATTTTATGTAGACTCATTGTATTGGTTTTTTTCTAGTATATGTATGAGGAATTTAGTGGAGCGCGTGTCGCGACTGAGTGTGAAATATACGTGTTGGCTTTCATGTATTTTCCAAAAATTCCCGACTGTTTTGAATTTTACAGAACGTTTCAGATGTATCATTGGTGATTTGAGGACAAACAGATATCAGTGATCACTAATGTGCTATTTGTGAATCTATCCTCAATATTAGTAAGATTCCCGTTTGATTTAGAACATGCCTCGTCCTTTTAATGTCATACTTTCTATCTTTAAATGTCACAATGTTTTAGGCAGAAAGTTCAAAACATTTTCTTCTTAACCTACGAATTTTCCCAGATATGTGTTATTGAGAATTCTCGCGAGATTCAGAAGCGAAAATATTTTGTGGACAATGATTGCCGACCTTTCAGGTGCCTGTCGGCAGCATACCATTTAGTGGATTTTCAAATTTCAGAGAAGTAAAATGCTGTCGACGAATGAGTATTGTGATCTAAGCTTTTTATTAGTTTATTACTGGAACATACCAAAAAAGAGACAAGGGGTGTTGGGACTCTCTTTATTTCCATTTTGTAATTTCTTCCCTTTGCGTACTTATATACATATAAACATAAGCATCTCCAAATCATATCTTACTCAAACACACTGAATGAATGTCAAACATACTGAGTGTTTACCACACTCCAAGCAAGTGTCCAACACAATCTATATAGGCCATGACTTCGATTTCGCCGTTCTGCAGTTTCTCTGTCTCTCGGCGGATGCGCTGGTCGGCTTCAACGTAGCGGCGGCGCCGTTTCGACTCTTGTGGATGGCCCTCAAGCTGCACTATCTTCACTTCACCGACTGTTCCCTCTTGATCAGGGTGATGAAATTGAAGATGTTGGGATTGCATGACGTCTGCTGGTTCAACATGTGATGCCAACCTTCTACGTTGTTATTAGTCCCGTGGGTGGTGTTTGTGTAGTGGTTCCAGGTCTGGATTCGTCAGGGACCTTCTATCCACTGTGTCGTGACTAGTCCATATACTTGGTAACCTGTTCACCACCAGGACCCACAGCCATAATGCCAAGCCAAGCACCTTCAACATCAGCTACAGGGACTAGAGCTGTGTTCTGATCAGCCTGTCGTTCATGGTCGTCATCGTTCCTTTGCAGCTTCTGTCCGACCATCTCCAGTAGATGGTGTCATTCTTTGCCTTGTTGGTTGAATCATCTGTGGTAAGCGTATCTGGTACCTTTAGTATTTGGAAGAACAGTTGTTGAACAGCCGCGTTTGCCACATTGCCAAGTATGAAGTGATCCACATTTTACATTTATTTGTATGCGAAGAGATACTAAAGATCACGTTGTACTAATACCCTTACTCAAATTACCCTTCTATTATTCTGTTGTAAAACAAAAGAGGAGAGCTTTAAAATATTACAGAAAAGACGCTGAGTTCTTTGCAAAATCCCCTTACTCATTGGAGAACACTTTACCCAATCAAAAAAAAATATGCAGTCTAATCCAACCCCTTCAATAATGAACTTACTTCTTGCAGTGTGTTAACACGGTCTGTTGCACGCCGAGAATGGACCGTTTGGCATAGAACCACTGAAGCATGAGTCGACAGATTAGTCTGGCTCACTGTTCAAACGTCGACGAATTAGGCCGTAACCGTGCATGTCTCAGACGTCTTGAGTCAGCGACCTCCACTGGGTGATTACAGCGAACGAAACTCAAAATGATATTTTTTTGGTATATATATCATTTTGAGTTTCGTTCGCTGTATTCACCCTGTAAGTATTATGTTGAATTTTATCATGTCCACCTCTGGGAGTGAGTGCGTGAGTTTAGTTTTGCGCCGCATTCAGCCATATTCCAGCTATATGGCGGCGGTCTGGAAAAAAATCGACTCTGGACCAGACAATCCAGTGATCGACAGCATGAGCATCGACCTGCGCAATTAGGAACGATGACGTGTCAACCAAGCCAGCGAGCCTGACCACCCGATTCCCGTAGTCGCCTCTTACGACAAGCATGGGTTACTGACGATCAATTCTAACCCGGACCGCACTAGGAGATGAACTCTTTGGTGGTTCACTGATGATGTGTGGCTGCATTTTGTATGGTTGCAAGTTGGATCTTATTACAGTACCCGGGGAGACACAATAGTCAACGTTATCGACATAAAGTACTGGATACTGCCGGAGTGCCACATTTTGATAACCTTGCCAGTCCTCAGATATTCATGGATGACAACGTTAGGCCGCCTGGCTTTTCTTGGTTGCTTTTTATTAAAATATTAAAATGGATTCCGTCCGTGCGTCCGTCCGTCCGTGCACATTTGTCTTTTCCGGACCATACCTCGAAAACCGTTCAATATTTCTTCACCAATCTTGGCACATAGATAGATCTGGTGGTCTACTGGTGCCTTTTGGTAGTTTTGGATTTCTGAATAAAATATTTTTTGCGTTTCCATGGCAACAAGTTTGAGTTAGACTGAATTTGGTGGTAGTACTCTTTTCCGGATCAGAACTCTAAAACTGTTCAATGTGTCTTCACCAAACTTGGCACATAGATAGATCTGGTGGTGAACTGGTGCCTTTTGGTAGTTTTGGATTTCTGAATAAACTAGTTTTTGCGTTTCCATGGCAACAAGTTTGACTTAGACTGAAATTGGTGGTAGTGCTCTTTTCCGGAGCAGAACTTAAAAACTGTTCACTGTTCCATCACGAAATTTCATACATAGGTAGGTCTAGTGGTGAACTGGTGCCTTTTGCTAGTTTTGGATTTCTGAATGAAATGTTTTTTGCGTTTCCATGGCAACAAGTTTGACTTAGACTGAATTTGGTGGTAATGCTCCTTTCTGGAGCAGAACTTTGAAACCTTTCAGTACTTTCCTTACACTCCTTGTCGGGAAGCACATAATCTAGGTGGAACATCTCACAGTTGACGAAGGCATGGATAGTGTTGACTTGCTTGAAGAAGCTTGGACAGGACTTGAAAGTACCATGTCCATACCAGGTATCTGCTGCAGCTAGATGACGGAGGTTATCTGGGGTAGGCAGGGTGGTCATGTCGGTGTCATAGTAAGGGTGGTCATGTCGGTGTAATAGGCAGGGTGGTCATGTCGGTGTCATCGGCCATGATGGCATTCTCTTCAGCTGTAAGCTCACGCCACGCACCAGTCAGGTTGTTCATCTTGTTCACTAGTTTGGCAACTTCTATAGCACGGCGGTCACTCTGGTGGTTGTGGTTGTGGTCGTGGTCTGGTCACTGAGGCAGCGTTCTGTGCTGTAGGTTTCAAAGGTTGTATTTTTCTCCAATTCCACCAACGGTGGTACATGAGTGAAGTGGAGAACAACTTGTATACATATATACACCAAGATGGCATTGGAGAGATATAATTGAGGCAGGATAATGTACAATGTAAGTTGTTCACTAGTCACAAAGGGGGCATGTGCTGATGTACCCTCGATGTTTGTTTATGTTCATAAACATAAACAAACATCGAGGGAACATCAAACCATGAGACCAGTGAACAACGTATTTATCTTACCGAACACCTTTATGTTAATTTTGAATTGTTTGAAGCACAGGTACAAATCTTTTTGTAGCCATGCTAGATTTTGCTGACAAGAAAACAGATTAGAGTTATCTCCCTTTCCATCGATTTGCATTCGCAAAACATCGGTAATTTCCGTACATCATTCGTGATTCAATGTTATTCGAGATAAAGAATTACTACAATGGAGTACCAAAATGAGTTGCTATTGACAGCGGGGTACATTGAAATGCTACTCGCTTGTAAGCGGGGTACAATGGAAATAATAAAGATCGCTCAGCCAATCAGAAAGCGACATTTATGTGTGAGGTAAGATAATACAATATACATAGCTGTAGCTGTAGCTCGACAACCTCTAGGATGGTGTCTGCCGCGCCAATACTCCTTATGCCTATTATTAACACTGAACTAAAAGCCATTGTAGACTAAAACTTGTTCACCTTCAGATATCGTCACCTCCAATATATTCAACTTGAACCTGCCAGTTTGACTGTAGCTGTCGAAGTTGTCCGACATTTTATATTATGAAGTGGATGAGAGCGAGTGATTACTAATAACAGTGAGTGAACGCTCACTCAAAGTATCAGGGAAACGGACTATAACTCAGAGCGTTAATCTATTGTAACAACACCGAACTGTGGTGCTTTGGGCTAGAAACATTCGGGCCGACAGAAATGTGTATCGGGATTGCCTGAAGTATTTATACGTTTTTGAACATGTTTCGTTTAACGATTACTCTTTTAGACGTGGCCTTGCTCAGTCACTTTCACAGGAAGCTCGTCTTCCTGAGTTTTAAGCGATTTACTTGTAATAAGGTTATGATGGTTCATGTTTGTGGCTTTTGGTTGATCATTATTATCATAGGTGTATGTTGTCTTAATTAATTGTAGGCATGATTTTCGATAATGGATTTATTAGCCAAATATATATTTGGCCAGTCTTGGCCTGGCCCGAGTTTAAGGCCATCGCCATGAGGAGATTGCTCTTGAAGGGTGCCGGTCTGGCACGAATTAATTGCTGCGCGCAAGCGGTTTTGTATGCTCAGGGCAGTTGCGCGACCCCTGAACAGTGCGTTGGTAGTTGACGTTGCGGCCGTGAAACGATTACGCAAATGACAGCCGATTATGATTGTCCTCGGCATGTGACGGCACACGTGTCCACGGGTAGTGAATTGTCCATCTACTGCATCTCAGGGCACGTGTAACAGCCACAGAAGATACCAGTGTACATAACCTCAGCACAGCTTGAACAAACAAACAAGCATGTGGACTGCTGACGTGTCATAAACGGAGTGTGATGTTTGATAATTGAACACAACATTGGTTGTAAGTGCAAACCTTAATGTTTATGTAATACATATTGGGAATGGAGGAAATATAATTTGGAATACGTTGTGCAGAATATTACGCTGTTACAGGTCATTGGCTCCCGCCCTCTGCAAGCATTCTGCGTTCTGCTGTTTATTTTGTTGACAGTTACATAGACAGATTCTTTAATACAAATGCATAAAATCGGTGATTTACAATGTGATTAGGTTGTCTGACAAAACATCCACTTGCGCAGTTTGAGATCGATTGGGTCATTGGATGAAGAGATATTTACAAAAAACCGGGTCCACATGCATTTCATGCCAAACTATAACCATTTGCAGGACACCCTGTCGTGACCTCGGAACACAAGCGTACTTGTCATCCTATTTGCCTGTTTTGTTTTGTAGAAGCTGCGCGTCCTTACAATGACATACCTCCGGAAGATATCAAGATGCAGCACCTTCAATAAACGACGGTACCTCTGCCTGATATTATTTGCGGCTTGCTTTTGTTGGCTACCCGTAATGTTATCCCTTCGCAAACACAAATCGCATACAGGTGAGTGAGCAGCTGTGTTTTCGGGTATATTTTGATGATGATTATTTTGACTTTAAACGTGCGCTTTCCGACATACTACATATCTCGCACTGGGATCACAGCCTAAAGCAGTACAATAACCGGAGTCAGTGGATCAATGTTCACTCGACTCATTCTCAACTCGCCGGGGAGTATACAATTTAATGAATATTATAAAGGATAATATTCTCAGATATTATTGAGAAAGTTGTTTCGGCAGATATCTAATATGTGTATATAAAAGACGTTTTTCTGTAATGAATATGTTGAAATATGATTCTCTTACAGTCTAAGTGTCCTTTCAGTACATTGTGAGACCTCCTTTCCCTGCAATACCCGACTGAATGCACATTGGTACACTAACGATCAAAGTTTGTAGGAAATCGCGTGACAGCGTATCCCAATATTCGACCACTTCTTTCTTCATATCCTCAATATTTCGAAGTCCTTTTTGAATTATTCTGTCCTTCATTAGTCCCCCACACATAGTCAACACTCGTCTTTCTGTTTGTGCATCTTTCATCAATGGTGAGGGAATTCGGCGCTTTTTCACCAAGTTAAGTCTTTGTAATTCTTATCTGTGGGGACCCGAGGACTTCCTCTATTAGTCATCTCATTTCTGATATTCTCAATGCTTTTCAATTTTCCCAAACTGGCAATCTGACAAGTCGCCGGCGATCAGAAGTACTGAGCTTACTTGGCCTCCCTGCCCCTGCCTTGTGCTCAATCCCAACTCCTGACTGAATATTCTGTTCTGTATACTGTAGACAGAGGAATGTCATGTCTACCAGCTAACTCCTGTTGCATTAGTCACACCCCTTTCAAAATCATCTGGAACCAGCTTTCTTTTCTCTTCTGCTGTCAAATCTGCCATGTCAACAAAGGAAGTTGTCTGCTACACCAGGGGACATAGGTGCATTTAAGCCTACAAGAGTTGCCTCCCATATTGTGTACCTTACTACATAATGTAACACCTATTTCAAAATTCTGTCATCAGTGTTAGGAAACAAAGTTTTTTGACAATAGTTTCTGGGAATACTGTGTAACGTGTTTTGTAGAGAATCACCAAAGTTACACCACATCAGCTATACGTGACTCAAGGGGGCGGAGGGATAGCTCCTCACGCTCAAGACCCGAGTTCGATTCCCATGATATGTGAAGCCCAATTTAATTTTGCATGGAATGTTTTGTAATTTGGCTGATGTCCTGTGAATATTTTTAGATTTATGTTTCTTTTTTATAGTTTTAAGTGTTTTTATTCAATAGATTGTTTAGTTATGCTTTTGAATTTTGGTATTTACTTTGCCATGTTTGGCAGATCTTTTTGAGGACACTATTATTTCAGATACTATTATTGTAATTAGATGATATTATCTAAAAACGATATCAAATACCTTTACATGGAGCACTTAATTATGAAAGAACACAGTCACCAAAACTAATACCCCTACCTCACAGGTATCCGTTAGAGTATTGATCTTCAGTAACCCATGCTTGTCGTAAGAGGCGACTAACGGGATCGGGTGGTCAGGCTCGCTGTCTTGGTTGACACGTCATCGGTTCCCAATTGCGCGGATCGTTGCTCATGTTGTTGATCACGGGATTGTCGTGTCCAGACTCGATTTTTTACCGACAGCCGCCATAAAGGTGGAATATGGCGGCGTAAAACTAAACTCACTCACTCACTCCCAGAGGTGGACATGATAAAATTCAACATAATACTTACAGGGTGATTACAGCGAATGAAACTCAAAATGATATATATACAAAAAAAATATATAATTTTTTACCGACAGCCGCCATAAAGCTGGAATATTACTGATATTCACTCACTCGCTCAAGAGTCCAATTTCCGATCGCAAACTGCAGACCTCACCACGGGCAACCGTAGTGATATACACTGGTTTCTGAAGCGATGGTTCATCATGCAAATGACGAGGGTTCGATTCTCCAAATGGGTGCATCTGAAAGTCATTTACCTTCTACCCCAGCTGTAACATAGCTGGAACGTTAGTCACTACGGCGTAAAAACCATACACACTCTCTCCCTAATAGCAGAACAATGTACACTAACCTTGATTGTAATGTGTCTATGTTTTAGAACTGTTTGAAAACGGACATTCGACGGTGTCCAGACACTTTGAACATTCAGTGAGTATAATTGGTTTGTATCGTAACAGTGAGTGAGTGAGTTAAGATGTAGGGTCACATCGTCAATATTTCAGCCATATCGTGACTAAAACAAGTTTTAAATGCATCAAATACACATGTGACTTATACAAAGCCTGTCAACGAAGGACAGTAAATACACATAGAATATCACAGATATGAATATAAAACTAGTATGTAAATATGAAATATTTTAAAATAGTAGACAATAGAATATAAAAACAGTCTATATATACCACTTGCTTGACAACGAGATTAGAATC